GTTTTAGGAATGTTTGGAAAAGTTATAAAGTGTTTTTAAGAATTTTAGAAATACAAATTGATAAAAAACGGAATAAAAATGCAAACACATATAGTACAAAAAATAATTAACTCAAATGAACAACTAGACACAAAAAAGAAATTACAATCATTCTTAGGACTAATAAATCAAGTAAGAGAATACATACCAAAATTAGCAGAGAATTTAAAGTCATTACAACAAAAATTAAAGAAAGATATAGAATATCAGTTTGATAAAAAAGACCAAATACAAATACAAAAGGTAAAATTATTATGTAAAAACTTACCTAAACTATATTTTCCGGATGAAAACAAAAAATTTACTTATATAGTAAAATCAGATGCGAGTGAAAAAAGTTATGGAGAAATATTAAAATACAGATATGATGGCAATACGATAGAACATCATTGTAGGTATTATTCAGGAACATTTAATAATACAGAAATAAAATGGGAAATAAATAGAAAAGAATTATATTCAGCGTATAAGTGTTTATTATCATTTGAACCATATATTGTATATAACGAATTTATTATAAGAACAGATAATACACAAGTAAAATTAGTCAAAACAAAAAATAGAATAGCATCTATTTATAATTTTTAACTTTTTAACTTATAAATAACTTTTTTACAAGTAGATGGAAAGAGAGGTTTAGTCGCAAATGAAACAAAGTTGTAAGAAGAAGTCGTTGTTCACATTAGAAAGTTTCAATTTTTAAGCATGAATTATAAAAAGATGGTTTGAACAATGTTTGATGTAGTTTTCTAGGAAAAAGACGTCGATTACTTTATTCATAATAGATAGATGATATAGATAAACAGTATGTGTGTATACATACATGGAGGGACGAATTTTCGTTTTGTTTGACCATTTGTATGACTGACCAAATAGATAGAGGTGAATACAAGTTGGAAAAGTAATATTAAAAAAATAAAAGGTCTTCTCAAACCCCAGCTGCTCCTTGTAGACTAGGACTACGATAAACCCCCCAAAAATAGCTTCATTTTCAACATATTGTCCCCACCCCGCTCTCCATGGCTATTAAGCTTTAACCTTAAGTTTCCCTTCTGTCTCATAATATATTATATATTCATCCCTTTCTTTCACCTCAAATCTCATATTTTTCTCTTAATCCATGGACTCTTCTTATCAAATTGTTGCCAAGTCCAAACACCGCAACTATTACTCTGCTTTCCCTTCTTGTTTTCGACGCCCTATTGAAGTGGCTGCCACCGCTCTTCCTCTGCCGCAGCCACCAGTTGCAGTAACTACTAATCCCAATCTAGCCACCTCCCTCTACAACACCCACCTCGGCCTTTTTGCTTTAACTTGGTCACGCAACCTCTTCGGCAGATCTTTTCATATCCATTTCCTCCTCAATGGCCTCTCTTCTCCTCATCTATCCCTTCTTTCCACCTCCACATCAAGCCTTTTGTTTTCTGGAAGAAACACGGATCTAAGAAGCTCGATAACAATGTTCACATCTTTTGGGATCTTTCCAAAGCTAAATTCGAATCTGGCCCTGAACCTCGATCTGGATTCTACGTCGCTGCTATCGTTAACGGAGAAATGGTTCTTCTCGTCGGTGATTTACCCAAAGAAGCTTATTCAAGGACCCGAGCTCGAAAGCCAGATAAGTATTCGAATTCGAACATGGTGCTGAGAAGGGAACATGTGTGTGGGAACAAACTGTACATAACAAAAGCAAAGTTTGGTGGAAAAGAGAGAGAAATCTCAATTGATTGCAGGATTGGGGAAGATCCAAGGTTGTATTTCAGTGTGGACAACAAAAGGGTGTTGCAGATTAAGCATTTGAAATGGAAATTCAGAGGGAATGAGAGAATTGAAGTAGATGGGGTTGGAGTAGTGGTGTCATGGGATGTGTATAATTGGTTGTTTGATGATGATGAAGATGGTTATGCTTTGTTCATGTTCAAATTTGAGAAATCAAGTTTGGATGAATTGAATAATGGAGTTGAGATGTGGTCCCAACAATCTTGTGGATTTGGGTTTGAGACAAAGATGATGAAGAAAGGTGTATTGAGAAGTTCATCATCTTCATCATCTTTGTCTTCAGCATCTTCAAGTTGTAGTAGCTCTGTAATGGAGTGGGCAAGCACAGAAGAAAATGAATTGAAGGATCCCTCTGGATTTTCTTTGCTGGTTTATGCTTGGAAAACCTGAAACTAACTTTTGACCTCATCCCATGTACTGTAAAATACATACATTAATAGGTGTATACCATTTTTCCACTCTCTAACATTGAATTGAATGCAATTCCTACTATTCTATTTTTGTCTTGATTGTTTAATCAATGTAATAACTGTAGAAAAATGCATATTCTTCTTCATTGATTTTACCAGGGCTTCTTTATTAGCTCACATTAATTCCCTTCTCCTCTAGGGCCACATCATTTTTGACTTAACAACATGAATATTATAAAATTAAAGCGCTCTCTAATAAAGGCAAGTTCGTACATAAGATTTTTGCGTGAAAGAATAGCATTCTTATTTTTTGTTAAACAATATGAACAACTTAAACTTGATGTAACCCAAACTATGGAAAAAATAGTCTCTTTTGGCAACTCAACGCACAGTGAAAGTTACCAACAGGATAGTCTTTGGTCATGTCGTCTTTAGTATAATCAGTTAGCACCTGCAAATTCATTATTACTTTTCTTTTTTAATCAATTTTCTGAGCTTATTGCTTCTTTATTTCAAAGCTCAAGTCTGTACAAAAAGGTCAAGTCGAATGACTCGACCCATAAAATAAAACTAAAACACCCACCCCAGTTAAGTGAAGTTGTCAGCTTCTAGATCTTGTTTCCTAATCGGTAGGGCTTTGAAATTCAGTTCCCTCTTTTCCTCTTCATGTTGCTGCCTAAAGCTCTTTGGCATCCCACTTTCCTCTGGTTGTGGGTGATAAACGCCTACCACTTGGTCTCCGTGTCTTCTTGTAGCTTCTAAAAGGTATGCTTTCAGTTTGTTCACTCCCATCTTCGTCATTTTCTGATTTTCCGTCCATTTTATATGGGCATAGCACATCTTGAAGTCTGATAGCTCTTGTGCATATGAAGTGTTTCTTGCTCATGTTTCTGACTTTTGTGCTTTGATCCTTCTTGTTTTGATCCTTAATGTTGAAATGTGTGACTTGTCTGCATTTAGTACCTTTTTACACTCCACTGATAGTTGCTGGAAATTATTCCTTTGTATGCTTCCTTGTTGCTTGTATGCCTCATTAGCTTATTTATTTGCTAATTGATTAGCCTCTTTGTAGACATGATTTACTACTGCGTTTGCTTCTCTACTTGGAATATGTATGTCTTCTATATCCTCTATGTGATTCTAGGGCACTTTCCATTCCTTTTTTATCATCTTTGTAATGCTCAGTGAGTCTGTTTCAACAATCACATTTGTAATGCTATTGTTTTTACAGAATCTTAGAGCACTAAGAATAGCCCTGACTTCCGCTTCCATACTTGTTCCCTATCTTATCCTCTGTGCTTCCGCATGAATTAAATTTCCATCATTGTCCCTGACACATAAACTATATGTGCTTTCTCCCGGATTTCCTCTGCTTGCCCCATTCGTATTGCATTTCATCCATCCAGTTGGTGGCTTATCCCAGACCACAACATGATGATATAGTTTTGGCTTGTATCTCCTTATCATCTCCACAATGCCTTCTCAGCTATTAGGTGTTTTAATCCAAGGGTACAATGTCTTCATTAGTAGGATAATGTTGTTTTGACACTGTTGAAGTGCATGTTCATAAGAAACATCTCTCTCATGTCTTCTTGCATTCCTCATTTTCCATATCTTCCACATCACAATGGCTGGGATGGCCTGGTATATCCTCCTTAGTTTGGGTCTATGAGATGTCACCCATTAGTTAGTGATTGTTTGTTATAGTCCTTCTCCAATTTGATCCCTGCACAAGAAGCAAAATGCCTTCATAGCTTGTTGGCTATGGGGGCTGTTAGAAAAAGGTGTTTCATTGTTTCCTGTTCATATCTTTCACAACAATAGCATCTGGAAGCCATACTAATTTTCATTCTTTTGAGATTTGTCTTCTT